ATGCGGGGCTCGATCCCAGAACTCCGGGATCATGACCTGAGCCGAAGGCAGACGCTTACACGACTGAGCCACCCAGGCGCCCCTTGCACTTGTTTTTTAATTTTATGAAAATGGTATGATACCAATAGGACTTACTTTTTTCAGTCAACATTATGCTTCTAAAGTTCATCCACTTTGATATGTAAGATGTAATTTATTAATTTTCATTTATCTTTTATCATTTTTGTATGCATAGTACCAGTGTAATAACTTAAAAGATACTTATCAATTATAAATGATAAGTCAAGTTTAGTTTACTTTTTTTTTTTAAGTAATCTCTATGCCCAACGTGGGCTTGAACTCACGATACCAAGATCGAGTCACATGCTTTACTGACTGAACCAGCCAGGCACCCTCAAGTTTACTTTATAATGCATTTTTTATTGGGAATATGACTATTTTTCTTTTCTTTCTTTCTTTTTTTTTTTCTGGGTACTGTTCCTGTTTTCTTTTTATTGGGAAAAAAGGGAGTATTTATTTATACCCTATACTGGTTGTCTTTTATGACTTTTACATTTGAATGGTATTTTTTCTTTTTCTTTTTTTTTTTTTCCTTTCTTTTAAACTTGTTATATTTGTACAGAGTTCCCCTTACCCACCTTGGTCTGCTTTTTATTAAATTTTAGTGTTGAGACCTAAATTATTTTTCACTATTTAGTAATCTAGGATAAGCTAGTAGAATTTGAGAACTGGCTTCAGGTAGACCATGAGCCTAAGATACATTTGAAAACTGAAAGATCATGAATTCTTTGACTTTTCTAATTATAAGAGATCTTAACAATTATTTATCTGGTCAATCCATTTTACAGATAAGTAAACTTAAGAGAGAGATATTAGGTCACTTGTCCTGAATGACACACTCAAGTAATAGCCAACTCAGGGCCAGAATGACCACTTTTCCATTTGACAAATGAAGAAATTGAGACAAGATGAGCTGAATGTCTCACCTGGATTATCTAATTTGTTGATAATTTGGAATCAGAACCTAGGTCTCCTGATAGCTCCTACAATGCTGTTCACATTATGCCACTAAAACATTTCCTGTTTGAAATATCTTCTGTAGGGCTCCTGGTGGCTCAGTCATTAAGCATCTGCCTTCAGCTCAGGTCATGATCCTGGGGTCCTGGGATCGAGCCCCGCATCGGGCTCCCTGCTCAGTGGGAAGCCTGCTTCTCCCTCTCCCACTCCCCCTGCTTGTGTTCCTGCTCTTGTGATCTCTCAAGATCTTGTGATACAGAAATATCTTCTGTAACCCCTAAATTATTTTGACCTATTTGTTGAGCAAGTATTATAATGGAATTTATTAGCAAATTTTTGGGGAACCAGGGAAACTTTACTATATGCAAAATTCCACATACAATATAAAATATGGTTTCTACCTCAAATGTAGAATCCAGTTTATATATTTAGCAGGCCAGTCACACTTTACTGTCTTTCTTGAATGTGTGTTGTTCTTAGACTTAAGCATATAGGAACCATGACAAAGGATTAAAATCAAATGGGATCTTTAGTAGTTAGTAGTATTCTTTTTATTATTAGAATTCTACTATTTTACTATTGAACTGCTTCTAGTTTTAAGGTTAACCTATGAAAACATGTCAGGCTTTTTTCTTCTTTTGGTAAGCCAAGAAATAAATACCTCTTTTCCCTTTTCTTTGGCATTATAGGGCTCTCTAAATATCGGCCAGCTAGTTCCCGATCTGCTTTAATACCCCAACACTCATCAGGCTGTGATGGCACACCCACCACGAAACCCCAGTGGAGTATGGAACTTGCATGGAAGGGAACAGGTGAAATTATTAATATTATTATTATTTTGCTCAAGAACAAATCTATAAACTTTATAAAGTTTATCAACTTAAAAAAATACATGAAAAATATCGATCTAGAGACTTGCTTTTCTTGCAACACATTGACTTTGTATTATCTAACATAAAGAATATTTTGTTTATTTAGTTTTAAGTAGGCTCTGCTCTCTCCATGCATGGAGCCCAACTTGGAGCTTGAACTCACAACCCTGAGATCAAGACCTAAGCTGAGTTGGATGTTTAACCAGCTGAGCCATCTAGGCGCCCCTAAGAATATTTTAAACTAGACTTTTTACTATTTGAAAATAGTGCATTCCTGTTATATAAAACTTGGAAATGAGAAGAAGAGTAGAAAGGGGAAAAAAAAATCATCCCTCATTATGCCATTTAAAAATACCCATTATTGCTCTTTTCTTGCAGTGATTTTTCTTAAAATATTATAACATTAAAAATGCCAACTTCAGTAGACACTATCAAATCTGCACCTTTCATACTTTTACAAAATGCGAAAGTCAACCACGTATTTCTCCGTTCCGTCTCCCCCTGAAAGTTTTACAATTGGTCATCCATGGTCAATCCTGAAGACTAGATGCCATACTAGAAAACTAAGATATTCCGTCTTTTCAGTCATTAAATACTAATTGGGCTTAAGTTTATGAAAAATAATTCAGTTCAGATGTGTTTGTTACCTGTTCTATTTTACATTGTCTTCCACTTAGCTGCTTACAAAAAAAGTTATTGTAATCTAGATAACGAGTAAGCATTCAGTGCTATTGAACAAAGATTCAGTCCTCAAGTTTTGGAGGAACGGGGAATGAAAAGCAAGATACATAAGCAAAATATTAAAGAATAGTTTTTCCAGAAGTCATTAGTCAGCTTTTAAGATTACAACATGTTTTTATATAAACCATGTTTTTATGCTTATATAAACCATGTTTTTATGATACAAACAAAAGAGTAACTGTTTATTGATTTAAGGAGCTTAAGGATCAACTGTGAAAATTCAAACTAAAGTAACATCTCAGAATATTTTGGTATTGAGACCCCAGACTGTTGCTTTTTTATCTCTCTCTGTGTGCTGCTCTATGCATTTACTGAAATAGATTCATACAGAATTTATTTCAGAAGGAGATTGGCTGGAGACCTTGTCACTTACTTTGATAAGTGAATTTTGACAAATCTTGGCCTTGCCAGTTTTATATTCTCTTGGTTTTATTTTTAATTTTTGCTTTATTACCATTATACTTATGAAAATTTTACTACATATGAAAAATTTCCCACATTTTTAAAAACGATAAAGCTCAGGGTATTTCAGACCTCTTGATATAGTTTGAGAGTGGTGCTTCTGCCTGTGCATGAATTCCTGTTCCAGAAAAGAATCTGAATATGTTTGGTTTTTCTTTGTGATGTGGCACACTAACCTATGGAGTTAACACCTTTTTGTGCCCACTGATGTGCCTTTGTATCATAGTGCCATATTGCTTTAAAAAAACCATCTTTACTTTTCTGTGGAATCTCTCTTTACAGTCTTGTAGTTCTCATGACATCATGTGGGAAGATTGGGGAGGAGATACAGGGCTAATGGTGGGGGGAATAGGAAAGTATTAAAATGTTAGCTTTGGTTGCTAGGACCCTTTAAGTCATGAGGCAAAATGTATACCAGTATATTATTTGGACTGATCTGTAAAACATAATTGTGAATATATTTTTAATGTGCCTTTGTAATTTTCTTTAAACGTGTTTATGCTATTTGGTACCCTGTGGCCTGTGAGCAAGTTTTAAAATTCAGTAGTGCTATTATTAGAATTTAGAAAACCTTCATTTTGCATATGGTAGTGTTCCAGAAGATTATTTGTACATGTATTTATTGTGGAATTCTAAACGTGTTTTCCCATAGACACATTGTTACATTTGATAGGTAACTCTGAAACTAGCCAACAAAGTTAAAATCCCTTTTAACTTACACCATACATGAAGAATAAAAGTATCAAGCCTAGCCACTGTATGTAACAATGTTTTTGAGAGAAGGGGCACTTAGAGCTCCATCTTTTGGAATGTCAGAAGCACAACTTCAGCCTAACTCAAAGTTGGCAGTAAAACAGGAACTTCCTTTCTTCCTGCCTCCCAGAAGGAGCCAGGGTCTCTTGGGGTGGTAGCTAGCCTGGCCTGAGGTTGTGAGCAGAGAGCTGAGGAGAGGAGGCCTAGAATCAGTATAAGGGAAGCTGTGACCTCTCTTAATTCTCTAAGGGATTCTAGATTAGAGCTCACAAATGAGCCTTATTTGGAGCCTTATTCAGCACATCCAACTGAGGCATCTTTTACTTGGTCGGTAGAGTCTTGCAAAAATTTTTGAAGTAGTTTACTAAAAAGAGATTACACAATAAAAATCTGCATTTCCAGCTTCTCTTGAAAAAGAGTTACCTGAGAGGTCCTCTTAAGCAGGGATGTGCCTTCCATTTTGTGTTGCGCTGGAATTATGCTATCTCCTTTGGTCCAAGGCTTTTGATATTGGGAGCCCTGCTTCCTTTTTTTTGAGCCGAGATGATTTCTGAGATGGCTCCCTTAGAACCAACAAACCAGATGATGATTGAGAACTGGAATGTGTTGCAGATGTCATCTTGCGGGGGGAGGATAGAAAACAAATGGGGTGTAGGTAAAATAAAGCAGAGGTGGAGGTGCCTGGGTGGTTCAGTCGGTTAAGCTTCTGCCTTCAGCTCAGGTCATGATCCCGGGGGTCCTGGGATTGAGCCCCGCATCCGGCTCCCAAAAAGGCCTGCTGCTTTCTCTCTCTCCTACTGTCTGCTGCTCCCCCTGCTAGTGCTCTGTCTCTTTCTCTGTCAAATAAATAAATAAAATCTTAAAAAAAAGAAGAGGTGGAAACTGTTAAGTAGTGGATAGGTCATAGTTTCTTTTTTGTTCTTTTTTCCTCCAGTTTTCTCTTTCCTTGTGTCTGATAGAAGACTAGTTTAGGGATGATATGTGTGGTAGGTTAAGCCATTTGGGGGTAAGAAAAGAGAAATGGCAGGGGTATTTTCCTTCCTTCCTTTACTATCACCTTTCCCTCCCCTGAGGTAAGGACGGGAGGCCATACAGCCTCCTGTGTCCTCTCCACCACTGCAGCTGTCCGATGGCCCGACGCGGCCGGTCTGTGTCCCAAGTTGCTGCAAGGCTTGTGTGAAGCACAGAGGAGGAGTGACAGGCACAGGTGCAAGAGGGAAATCCCTGGCGGTTCTGTGGGGAAGAAAAGAAGGAGAGTTCCTGCGGTTTTGCCTAGCTAGGTCTGCTGTGTATGTAACACCTTCTTGCCTAAGTCAGAAAAGCACTGTTCGAGTGCATGAAATCTTTCCCACAAAAAAGATATCTATATCTGTCTATCTATCTATATCTTGAGAGTACTAGTTCTTTCTTTTGAAACTCTAATATGAAAAACAGACTTTGATTTTTTTTTTTACTTAAATTTTAATGATCTAATTTTACACTTTATTTTTTACAGTGATCCAAAGAATCCAAAGACCAGACTTCACACTTTCCCTAATAAAAACTGCAGGTTTTGTGCTAAGTTTAAACATATACCTAATGTGAATGTATTTAAGAGAATTAGCAGGTTATTGACACTTTAATCAGATGGGCTGAGAAGCTTCCGCATTAGGCTTTTATTAAGTACCTCTTTGGTTGATTTTGCATTTGTTAAATTGACTGCAGCTAAAATCCTTATCCATAGTGCATTTTACTAGCTCTCTGGGAAAGATTTTATGTTGGGTAGAACAACAAAACGGAGCATTTGTTTTGTTCTTTTCATATAACATGAAATAGGAAAATATATTCTGAATTACATATATCTCCTTTTTTTGATATATATGCTGTCTATCATAGAGACATATATTTCAGGTCACTAAAAGGACTTTCTTTAGCTTGTAAACCCCTGAAATGATATGTGAAATTATGTGTGTAAATGTGTCATGAGGATGGAGATATACACATTTTTCTCAGTAGAGATTCTAAACATGACCTCATGCTAGTGTGAAAGTCAACTCCTGTGTGTCCCAGATCTGACTGCTAATACAATTCCACATGGGAAGGAAATTGTACTTTCTTAACACCTTGGTTTAGACCTGGTAAAATTATCCAGGAAAGAGAGAGATTAGGCAAACAAACAAAAAAATATATTTTGTCGGGGGCCTGGGTGGCTCTGCCGGTTAAGCCTTTGGACTCTTGATTTTGCTTTGGGTCACGATCTCAGGGTTGCGAGGTTGAGCCCTGCGTTGCCTGGCTCAGTGGGAAGTCTGCTTTGAGAGTCTCTCTCCCTTTCCCTCTGCCCCCCCCCACCCCCGCACACGCACATGTTCTCTCTCTTAAATAATCTTAATACATAGAAATATATATTGTCTATAATAAGTGAAAACTTAAGAGCTAAAGGGTGTGGTGGTGATAGAGTATCATTAGGTTTTATCAGATCTGTTACAAACACTATTCTGGTGAATATTTTTGTATATGTGTCTTTGCACATATGCATGAGCACATATGTGGGATAGATTTCTAGAAATGAACGTTCTAAATCAAAGAATATGGGCATTTAACATGTTCATGCATAGTGCCAAACTGCCTTAACTTCTCCTTTTTAAAAAACACTTTATTATGGAAAACTGTGAAGGAGTCAGACTAGTATAATGAACCCCCATGTATCCATTACTCAGCTTCTACAGTGATCAGCTCATGGTCAATCTTGTATAATCTATATCCTTACCCATTTCCACCCTTATGAATTATTTTGAAACAAATTCCACATATCATCACTTTCTTCATGAACAACTTAGTATATATCTCTAAAAGATGAGGACTTTAAAAAGTCATAACCACAGTAACATTCTTATTCTTTAAAAAATTAATTTTTTTCATATTTTTAAATATCCAGTCACTGTATAAGTTTCAGTTGACTTATGCCATTATTCTAATATTTATTTTTAACACTTTATTTTTTGAATCATTATCCGCATAAGGTCTACACGTTGCAGTTGGCTGATATGTCCTTTACATCCTTTTAAATTTAAAGTTTCATGTTTACCTTTTTCTCTCTTTTCTTCCCTTTTATAATGTATTTATTAAAGAAACCAGGGCTTTGATCTGTAGTTTTCAAGTCTGTGTTTTGCTAATTCTATATCATAGTATAATTAACGTGTTAGAGTCCTCTTTATTTCCTGTAAATTTGTAGTTGGATATAGAAGCTAATTTATTCAGGTTTATAGGTGGTGTTGTGTTCTTCCATCTGGAAACATACAATGTCTCGTTGACTTTTTTTTAAAATTTTTTTTAAATAGTGGAAGTTAGATTTTATTTTTTAATTATTTTTAATTTTTTAATATAAATTCAATTAATGTATTATTAGTTTCAGATGTAGAGTTCAGTGATTCATCAGTCTTATATAATATCCAGTGTTCATACATCTATGTGCCCTCCTTAATGCCCATCACCCAGTTACCCCATCCCCCACCCCTTCCCCTCCAGCAACCCTCAGTTTGTTTCCTATGATCAAGAGTTGACTCTTTTATGAGGTTAGCCACTAAGATGTTTAAGACCTAGATCCATTATTTCACTAAGGGTTGCAAGATGGTTATATTCTTTTTTTTTTTTTTTTTTTTAAGATGTTGTTTATTTATTTGGAGAGAGTGTATGCACATGCGGGCAGGGGGAGGGACAGAGGGAGAGAGAGAATCTCAAGCAGACTCCCTGCTAATCATGGAACCTGATGTGGGGCTCAATCTCACGACCCTGAGATTATGACCTGAGCCAAAATCAAGAGTCAGACACTCAACGGACTGAGCTACCCAGGCGCCCCCGCAAGATGGTGATATTCTAATTCATCTGTCCATTTTTATAAACTGGTTTATTTCTGTAAAGCTAAAGTCCCCCTCATCTGTTGTGACCCAGTGGTATAGATTATACAGGAGGAGAAAGATAATGGCTTCTCTTTTTATTTAACAATTTCCCAAATAATGAGTTGGCTAACTAGCATCCTCCAATGGTGAATAATCAGTTCCAGTCCTTTAGTTATTGTTCTTATTATTCCAATTGTCCCATCTTGGGGCAGTGAGAACCTCTTAGAAGTTGATTCTTGGGTCTGTGGAGAAGAACTTAACTTCCTTGCCATTATAATACGAGATTTTTCAGGTTAATTTTGTAAATATTCTGCCCAGCCCAAAATCAGTCATTTGTCCTGGGAGCCCTGGTTCCTAACACCTTTATCTTTGGATCTAGCTAATCCATTGTCTTATTAATAGACTAAATACAAATCAAGAGACATGCAAGATTTATAATCAGTGTATCTTTAATGCTAAGTATAAGGCCACTAGACAAGAGATTGGATTTTGAAGTGGTTATAAGTATTCCTTGGAAAAGAGTATACCCAAGTACACTTGGTTGTCTTTTTGGCAGTTGTCTGTGCTAGGAAGTACAGTTTCCAGTGTAATTATTGGTTTTTCTGCAATCCAAGTTGCTTGGCAGGTGTTTAGGATGATGAAACTTCTCTCAGTGCAGAAGAGGACCTCAGACTCTTAATAGTGCAGACAGCCAATTGGAAAGCTCACAGTCTGGTGTTGTAGACTAAATCATGAGGTAGGATCTGAAGGGATTTGTTCATGAGGCTTTAAAGTCTCTTATCATCACTTCTCCTTATCACCTTGCTCTGTATCCTGTTAGGTATGGACCTGTTTTCTCATATTTTGGAAACATACTCGTGTAATTTATTTAAAATCTAAATTAAAATCTTACAGTGGCGTATTTGGCTGATACTCTAATTCAGATATCTCTCAAAATTTTTCTGAATACTATCTTGGTACCAATTATTGCAAAAGATACAGATCCCAAAACTTGCTCTGTATGTAAATAATCTCTGTAATTGGCTTATGCATCATTATTAGTGTTATCTTTACCAAAATATCATGAAAGTAAAACAATAATTTTGTAGTAGTAAAATATGAATAATCTGTGAGGGCAAGAATTTTTGGTTTATTCATTTGTCCTGAAATGTTGGAACAGTGCCTGACACAAAAGAATTATAGTAGTACTAGTTGAATAAATGGTCTATAATAGTTTCTGTGCTTTATCCCTCTTCCTTCAAAATTAGTGACCTTCAGATTGCATTTAGTTGGACTGAGTTCATCAGACATCCTCTCTAAAAGAAACACAACTATTAGGTATTTCTGTTGTATGAATTCATTCATTTATGTTTAGCAAGCTTCGGCAGGGGTGGGGAGGTGAGATGGAGGGCGTGCTAGATACCGGGTGGCACACTGGGATACAAAGATGAAAGAGATGAGCTCCCTGTTCTCAAGACGCTGGGAGTGGAATGAAAGAGCCCCACAGACGAAAAGCTGTGCTGCCGGGCGGAGTGCTTAGGAGCACACACTGGAGGCAGGCTCTTGGGGTTTGTAGCTCAGACTTGCCGGTGCCACCTCGGGCAAGTCACTTGAGTCCTCTGTGCTGTAATTCCCTTTCCATATTATGTTGTGGGAACATGAAGGAACGAATTCTTTTGGGGCAGTTTGGGGAGCACTTCTTAAAGAAATGACATTTGAGCTGAGTTTTAAATTATTAAAGAGCCTAAAATGTTTTTTCCTTCCCTTTTGTCTGCTCCAGGTTACCGTTTAAACATACTTCCTTGCAGAAGTTTGCCTCTGATCCCTCCACAACTGATTTAAGTCTCCTTTTGTGCTACTGGTTCACTGAGTTTTGTCTTTTTATTACTTGGTTGTACTTACTCAATTTCTTCTCAGCTAGTATGTAAATGGCAGGAGGACTGAGATCTGTCCAGTTCATCACTATTTTCCCCAGTTCCCATATAGTTCCTGTTACTTGTTAAGTGAATTGGTGAGTTAGACAAATAAGGGAAGGGCATTTCAAGCGTAGGAAGTAGCATTTACAAGTTCACAGTTAGTAAAGGGCTACCCTCAGGTGCATAGAAAGTGATAGCGGAATGTAAGGCTGGAATGGTAGGTTCAGGACAGATTGTAAACTGTCTGTAAAATCAGTGCTGAAACTGATTTTTAGGAAACTTCTGTGGTGATGTCTGTTTTGGTAAGAACCATGGTTTGGGGCTAGTTTGGATCGAAATTAGTGCTGAGAATTTACTTTAAAAAGTCCATTTTAGTGAAAAGGTTGTTTTTTTTTTTTTTAGCTAGTTTGGAGAAAGCCTATGTTTTCAGAAACTGCTGCATTTAAGTCCAAGGACTTTGGCTTTTATTCTGTTGGTAGAACCAACTGAGTGGTTTTTTGTTGTTTTTAGAACCAGCTGAGTTCTTAAGCACATAATTATGGATAGCTTTTTTTTTTTTTTTGGAAGATCACTACGCAGCAGGGTCTTACAGCCTAAACACTATTAACATTTTGGGCATGGGAATTTTTTGTTGTAGGAGCTGCCCTATGCATGGTGTGATGTCCTGTGCATCACTAGGCTTTACCCATGGGAGGCCCATATCACTTCCTCCCTCAGTCCTACCCCAGGTGTGACAATAACAGTGTCTTCAGATATTGCCGAATAACCCGTGTGGGGCAAAATCAGCTTCTGTGCAGCTGTGTAAAATACGGATTTGAGTATAAGACACTTCGGGCATAGGAACCAGTTCACGGGAGACTAGTACCACCATCCGGATGAGGTGAGGTGTTCTGAATTCATACAGTTGCAGACAGCGTAGGGGCAGATGAAAGAGATATTTGTACGTGAAAACCAACGAGATTTGGTAACCACCCAGATTTAGAAAGGCGGGTATCTGAGATGATCCTTGGGCTCTCTTCTTAGCTGGCTGCATGTAAAGCAGTACCTCAGTCCAGAGTCACACAGAAAGAAGTCTTCCTTGGGGTGTGGCCCAAGGATTGTAGCATCGGGAGGAAGCAAGAAATTGTTGTGCACCAGAGTCTGAGAACTACTGCTGTAGTTTCCTGGACTGATGGAATGTTAAATGGAAAGAACTTTCCAAAACATTTGATTTTTTTTTTAAGGTGAGATAAAAAGAAAGAAAATGCATGCTGAAAGTTAATAGCAGAATCTGTTCAAGAGCACAGGTCTCCTATTTCTCATCTTTCTTTCTTTCTTTCTTTTTTTTTTTTAAGTGACACTACTCTTGTCTTTAAGTAGAGATGTTCCCTTTATAGACTCACTGCCTTTTCTGGTTTTCTTAAGTGCACTGAATCTACTTAAAAAGTTCACTTTTCCCTGTCTGTTCCCAAGAAATTACCTTAAGGAACTATAGAAGTGTGATTTTGGCCGTGATATTATTATCAGTGACTAGCATAAGATGTTTATGTGTGTATAAATGGTTCTTCAGGTGGCAGAAATAAAGTACTGCCATTTCCCTGCCCAGTATCTTAGGGTCGAACTGTAGATGAAGGAGCTACAGTTAAAGGATGAATGTGGGTCTTAACTAACAACACACACACAATGATCATCATTATTATCATTTCATAATACTTTAAAACATAAATGCTAACTTTTAAAAGATGGTTTGGTAACACACTGGTATATATCATAATTGGTATAAACTGTAAGGAATTGAAATATTCTGTTTCCTGGCCACAGTGCTGAATACTTACCTGTATGTGACTAATTGAATATCTTATTTAGATACTTCTCCCATTCCTAAATATTTCCATGGACATGTTAAACACTTGGGAATCCCTCTTTTCTATACTGTCGTCAGCTCCCTCTTACTTTCATTTCACTTTCTTTGTTATCAACAGGAATTCATTTGGGTGTTTTTAATCTTGAAGGTAAAGAACAATCACCTTTGGAGATGAGTATGCATCCAGTTGCAACAGCTCCACTCTCAGTGTTTACTAAGGAATCTGCGTCCTCCAAACACAGCGACCACCATCACCACCATCACCATGAGCACAAGAAGAAGAAGAAGAAGCACAAACATAAGCACAAGCACAAGCACAAGCATGATAGTAAAGAGAAGGACAAAGAGCCTTTCACTTTCTCCAGCCCCGCCAGTGGCAGGTCTATACGTTCTCCTTCTCTTTCAGACTGAGACGGGGACAAAGGAGACTTTCCCTTAGTGTCCAGAAGAATATATATAACTAAAGCTTTGTCCTCTGTAAAGAATGATAAATGGAAACAGACAAAAAAATAGTTGCCTTTCTCATAGAAATTCAGAATCCATGTAAATTCTAACATTTGATTTATGTTATTTATGCAATTGAGATCTAATTAGAAAAATGTTTTATAGTTCTGAATAAACCATTTCATCCCATTTCCTCCTGAGAACACACACACACACACACACACACACACACACTCATTCACACCAAACTTCAAAAAGGCCCTCAGATCCACTGGCAGTTCCCATTCACATCATGGTCTTCATGTGTACTGCCAAAATCAATTATGTTTTAAAGTCTTTGATGGATGTTATGGGGCAAAGTTATGTTTTAAACAAGCTACTGCCAGATCTGTGGTGAAACCACTGTTTCCAGTGAAATATTGTATAACGCTATTTGGAACTACTGAGAAAGACTGAGGCTTTTCTATAGGAACCTTCTGTATTACATGGTATTTTTTGTGTTAACCGTAGAGGCTAAACATCAGAATTTGTGAACACAGATACTTGGTATTTTTTTTTGCCCTAAAATACGGAAATGTTCAGAAGCAGCTCTTTTTAAAAAAAAATTTTTTTTGGATAGCATTTTTGATAGTGCATTTGGGGATTATAATGTTGGAATTGAATAGAACTATCAAATCCACAGTTCTCAAATCAAGATGTTTAAATTATAAGTTCTTTTTTTTTCATTAAGTATAAGTGAATATGTTCATATATAGAGTATGTTTGTTAAATGTGGACAGTTTACACATCCAACACATAATCTAAAATTATTTCTGTATAACACAAAGTCTGATACCTTAAAAAGGTGTTTATATAATGTTTACTAACTCAGACAAGTCAGCCCTCATGTGAGTATACCAGAAACATTTAAAAATATATGAAATATTTTGGTTTCATACTTAAACAGTTTGTGTGTGTTTGTTTTTATTTCTGAATTTACCATGTGCTTTATTGTTGTTTAAAATGTTTTTCATATCTGTTCTATTTTTATCATTTCTCTTACCATTAGTTTGACAAAGTATTTCTTCTAGAATAGATGTTTCAAAGGGATCCAATAATGTTGGACTTTTAAATATACTTTTAGTTGTGTTTAACTTGTTTAATAAATAACTTTTTAAACTGACCATTCTGCCTTTGTATCTTTTTATATCTTTGTTACCCTTCTCTTTGTGTGTGTACCTGTCCGCAAAGCTCTCTACCTTTGTGGATAGGCAGGATTTGAGCTGGCCTTGCTAGGGAGAATGATTTCAGTAGAGATGGGGAAAGTTCTCTCAGTAGAAGGAATGGTGTTTTTTCAAAAGGATGGAGGAAAGCAAGGGGATGTTCAAGCAGTGCAGTTGACTTGGAGCCTGAGTGCAAAAGGGAGTGTGATCAGATGTAGAAGGGCCTAAATGGCGGTTATTTCAAGATTCCGATTAATTTAGTGTTGGTCCGCTGAAATTATTTTTGGAAAATGGCGTATGTTATGTTACAGTGTACAGTGTGATACCATATGTAGAATCCCCAACTTTGAAAATAGTAAGGATATATTTCAAAAGAACTATTAGTGTTGTCAGAAGATGGTGACAAATAAGAGCTACCTATATAACTTAAGGATGTCTTGTATAGTCAGGACTGTACTAGGAACTGTATGATACCTGTGTCCTTTCTCAGTTGGATATTTATATTGGATGTTTCCTGTGAGGCACTTTTTTTTTTTTTTATGGCAGGCTTTCAGTTATTTAAGCTGATGGTTAGGAGCAGACAACACAAGAATTATTCATGTTTTTGAAATACGTAATTACACACAAACAACACAGAGTTCTAGTGTAAGTCTCCCCAGCCTCCTTCCCCAGAAGTTGTTGGCAGTATTACGTGTGTCTCTCCAGAGCTAGTCTGTACATACATCTATACAGTATGGACATTTTTTTTTAACAAATGATAATTGTAGAAATTTTTAACTTTGGTATAGCTTATCTTTTATGACTACACATTTTGTGTCATACTAACAAAGGTCTTTCTTATTCCATGATTATAAAAGAATTCTATTTTTTTCTGTTGGTTTTAAAGTTTTATGTTTTGGGTTTCTATCCAACTAGAATCCATCTGGAATTTATTTTGATAGAAAATGGGAGGTAGAGATCCAGCCCTTTATTTTTTTCCTTCCAGAATGCCACCCAACACTATGTATTTAAAACTCTGTCTTTTTGGGGTGCTTGGCTGGTTTATTTGCTAGTGAGTGTGACTCTTGATCTTCGGGTTGTGAGTTTGAGCCCCACGTTGGGTGTAGAGTTTACTAAAAAAAAAAAAAAGTTAAAAAAAATAAAACTCCCATCTTTTCTCTCTAGATTTCAAGTGTTGCATACTGAATTCCCTTATTGTTTGGGTCCATTTCTGGACTTTGTAGCTGGTTTCATGCATCTGTCTGCTCACCTGCCAGTACCATGCTGGTGAGATCATTGTAGCGCTGTCTGCATTTTAATATGGTAGAGCTAGGCTCCCTCCATTACTTTTCATAATCTCTTCGCTGTTCCTATGGGTTATTTTCTTTTTCTAGTTGACTTATTAATTTACATACCAGTAAAACTCACTTCTTGTGTACATTTTTATGGGTTCGACAGATGCTTGGACTTGTATCTCCAACCACCAGTTTCATCACTGCAGAATTCATTCGTGCTGCCCCTCTGTAGTCAGCAGCTCCACCACCCAACCCCTGCCTTCCACTGACAGATTTTCCGTCCCTGTAATTTTGCCTTTGTGTGGATTTGTTTTTCTACATAAATACTAGAATCAGGCTTTTTCGTCCCTCCATGAAATTGTTTTTGTAGTTGGTATTGGTTGTGTGTTAAATCAAGAGTTAGAATTGGTATCTTGATGTTGATGATTTGTATTAGTGATGTCAATATTCCTATCAGAACAGTATTTCTTTTTAACTTCATTACAAGGTAGTTTCTGTTTTGGTATTTTTTTTTTTTAAAGATTTTATTTTTTATTTATTTGAGAGAGAGAGACACAGCGAGAGAGGGAACACAAGCAGGGGGAGTGGGAGAGGGAGAAGCAGGCTTCCCGCTGAGCAGGGAG